TCGAGCGAAGGATTTTCCCTTGAATCCCGTAAGACCCGAGTTGTTGGAGCAGCGGGACGTATGGGACCCTATCGAAGGCTTTTGAGAAGCCGAAAAATATGGCATCCGACATGAGTCCTCCGTCCTTGACTTGGGTTATGCTGTACATAAACACAAGCATGTTTGTCACACAAGAGCGGTTTGGGAGAAATCCGTGTTGAGCTGGAGATATCAGATTGCTGGAATTAAGGTGATCTAGGATAGCTCGCTTCAGAATGCGTGCCATCACCTTGCACAGCCTTGGAGCCTTTGGATGTGACACACCCAGGAAGATTTCCGTGGAAAAGACGCACGTAGATCAAACAGTTAAACGGAACTGGCCCAAAGCAGCCCGTGAGATTTTTGTAAAATGACCGGAATACTACAGAAATTTGGTGAAAATATGAACGTAGTCGACGAATCACAAGACCACCACCCAGTCTTATACACTACCGCAGGCATCAAGGCGTGACTCAAATAGGCGTTAATGCAGCCACCCGGCAACGCCGGACGGCAGACTAGGGTTGTGGAAGACAATGATGAGTAACTCGCGCAAGCAACCCAGTCGGAAAGTGTCTAATAAGCCATCCAGCAAAACTGTCTATACCAACGTGGGCGAAGGTCACTCCCGACCAGAGGTTTGTATGAAAATACGTACACCCGGCAGACCAACCAATTTCGGCTGATGCACCGCCCCTCCTGGCTTCACAGCAGCGTGTGGACGAGGTTAGCTCAAACCCACATAAATTCAGCACAGAATCACTTAACCCAGTCGAACCAGCCTCACACATGTCCAACCAATATACTTTCTATTCACGCTTCCGAGCTTGGCATAGTGTCATTTGCTTCAAATCGACCCCAGAATGAGTACAGCTCAGACGTTCTTATTTTCACCGAAACTTTCTGGATCTAGGGTAACTCCTTGGTAAANCACCGAAAGTTTCTGGATCTAGGGTAACTCCTTGGTAAAAGGGCATTTTCTGTCATGGTTGAATAGTCTTGAGCTGTACAATGCTAGGCACATAGTAGTGCCACTCAGGGATCAGCTTCCATTTCATACGTGATTTCAAGATTCACGATGAGCTGGCAGGACATTTAAACTGATATTTTTGTGCTCCTCTGACGCATGGATGAATGAAAAGCCACCGGAATTCGTTATTCAGGATGGAATTAATCAAATATTGAAAATACGTTGTCGTCTACATATACACTGCCTTGCTGCAGGAAAACGGACACCACGGGGGATAAAATAATGAACCTTGAGAACGGATTATATTGTCAGATACTCAATAGGTTGGAGAAGTGATATCTAGAAAGCCCAGTACATTACAATAGTTTCTTAAAGGAACCCATGGGTTCCTGTGACTTAAATGCTACGGCAATAACCCATGTACCATTTCGGAAATCTGAACTGCGAAATGGTGGAGCGACTTTCCACGGGGAGTAGCGCGAGACTAGGGTAATCAAGAGCTTTAAAAGCACAGGGTCGTTTCATTGCAAAAGTATCACCCGTAAGTGACCGTAGTAACGAAGTCCAGCACATATATCGGTATACCCAGACGCAGTAGAAATCCAGAATTCAGCAGAGCGTAACAAGTAGCACGTGGGTATTCGTATCTACGTAAATGTACAGCATTTGGAATACTAAAGCAAGATAATAATGAATAGAGCAATGAAAAGAGAATCAATCACGTTCATCACAGTTATTTTGCTGAAGCTGCAGTCAAAAGGGAAATAACTTACCCATATTTCCTTGGGAAACTTGAAACTCCTGGATCTGAGGATCAGCGCGAAGGTGCCTACCTGAACACACTGTGTTCGTTTTCCAATCAGGTCGAAAACCGCTTAGATATGCCACTGTCGGAAATGTCAACAGTATAGCCTCGGGTGACTGTAAGCAGTAGGCAGATGCACTATAAGATTCGATATTCTTGGAGTGCCCTCAGACGGTCCACTTCAACAACAGAATACCTTTATATTTCCGCATAACATCTAGGCATTGATGCATTGACGCGCATTTTGGATGTTTTTTGGTTTTCTAACAATGAGCTGTCGGTCACACCGTTTACCTAATTTAATTTCTTTTATACTGAGTTCATATTTGTCAAGGAGTAAACTTCCAGACGTATCCAGTCAGCAGTTTTGCCGTGAGAGCTGTACTTGTGAACTACGCTGGATGCGTCTGGGTGACTATCCATTCTTCAACCTTGTCTCGAATTCCTGGTTTGCCGTTTCTACTCCTGCCCCAAGATTTTTTGTACTTCTAGTCTTGATTTTGCCCACAGAAGGCCGGGTGGCTGACTCTAAAAAATCATATCACAGCACTCCATTAATTTGACGTGGCCCAGCCTCAGTTTCTGGGTTGGTACAATGATTCTGAAAGAGGGTTTGTTTGAAACGATCCATGAGCATTTGAACCTAAAAAAGGCGGGGAAGCGCACCTCCAGCGGAAATATCGGTGACCTTGAAGCGGAATCCCAGCCTATGGTAAGGACGGAATAATGAGCACTGTACCAGGCTCCGTGGGCGGTGGCTTGGGGCCGCCTGGTACTGGTCCACCGTCATCCTCCAAAAAGCGCACAAAGATCGTTTTCTTGAGTCCAACGGAAGTAGGGAATTGGGATAGACTCGAATGCAATGCGGAACAAAAATTACTGGATAAAGATGACATGCTCAGATATGAAAAACTCCTGAAGAACAAGCCATCTGTTCGGAAGAAAACGAATTCAGGTAAATTGGTTGGAAATTTTATTTTTCCGTTGTCATGTCTCGCTAGCTGTGGTAGTTTAATTGTCCTTTGGATTCGGCTGAGAGAATCTTCACATTATTTTTCAGTATGATGGGACGACCGGTGTCACGTCGTTAGTCAAGTAGGGCTGTTTGTCACTAAGGTGCATGCACTCTCACGTAAATTATATATTTTTCGCTTCATTATTGTGAATAAGCATAAACCGTGTGAATTGTGCTAGTTTGAGAGCTTGGATGCCCACTTGAGGTAACAATGTATTAGAGGGGTAGCGTGTTTTTTAGTATGCTGAATTTATGTGTACAAAGATATATGAATGGATAAGTGCAATAACGAGTGGGTTAGCGCTCGTTATTGAAATCTCCATGGAAGCTCTGGAGGACTTATCCTTATTGCGAGTCATAGGGTATAAAGCTTTGAAGGAATCGGTAAATTTTGAAGTGGAAGTGTATTGTGTGCCACTATCGGCTGTTTTTGTTTTACAGGATACGTCTAAGCTCCATCTTTTCCCAATGAATAACTACTCCTTATCTCCATATACTCGAAACACTTCACTACCTTGTTGCGAGTTGCTCTTGTGGAGGGATGAATTGGCTTCACGAGTATCCCCTACTGTTTTTACCCTCGACTTTTGATCGGCTGCTGGTTTTATACGAATTAGATGTGGAATTCTGAAGCAGCATTATCTATTTACCGAGGTTCATATTTCGTCGAACAGTTGAGCGTTCAGAACGCGATTTGGACGCAAAAATTTCGGCTTTATGGATATTTTCTTATACGTAGCATCTTGTATAGTACGTGTGGACTGGGCGGATTCTCGCTTCTGCTGCACGAGCCTCTGTTTGCGAGCCTAAAGCGCTTCATAGTCTTCATAAGTTACACAAAGGTGCGTCCTGTTGGAGTGACACAAGGGTCAATTCCCCTTTGTTCCAAATGTTGAAATGCGACGATGCATTCAGTTTCGTTTATTACGCGCACGACTGCCTGTTAGACTGTAGCTTGTTTGGGGACGAAATTGGTTTTGCTGGTGTGTAGGCTGCCAGTCCGACGAGCCCTGCATGATGGATGACTAGATGAAAAATGGCTCATGTATCCGTGTTTGTGCTAGGTCAGACAATGTCGTCAGTATATTGGAGGTTTACAATCCGGACTGTTCAGACTCGTTTTGAAGCGGGGCTCCGAGTGCCAACTGCGTATAAATAAATGATTAATCGTTCAGTTTTAAAACCTTTCGATGCCTAGCTACAATCCCATCCGAAGGAAGCACGAGGGCCAGGGTACTTCCAGGTTGCCCAGTCGTAGACAAGGCAATTCGAGATGCAGAATTCGGGATCTAAACCACTGGGCCATCTCGCCATCTTTGCCAATTGCGTCTCCGATCACAAGTGATTACTGGTGATAAAGTACATCATTTCACCTCGGAGTCAAGATCAAACTCACTTCTCGCTCTAGACACAAACTCTAGCTTTTGACAAGTAGCAAGTTTTAATGAGGGCAATGAGTTTGAGTAGTACGCCATTAGCACGGACGAAAGTCCGTAATGACTGCACGAAGTCGAGTTTGGTGTACTAGCCGATGAGACTGGTAATGGTTTGCTGCTGGGATTCGATCAGGTTTCCCAAAACTCGACGTAGAGTGATTGAAAAGCTCAAGCGGAGCTGCTGTAGATGTGACGTTTTTAGGCGTCGTGCTTCCGATAAACGTTCCATGAGTGTGGGAGCAAACTTCTAGACGGCAGTAATAAATGGAGTGGTTATACGATAAGTTTCCCGGGTTATTTTGTCACTTTTCTTAGGATTTAGGACCAAAGTCAGTTTTCCAATTTCAGTGGGGAAAGACTCCCTTCAGTAATGTTTGTAGATGGTTGCGGGTAGAGAACGCTTTTCTATGCTGGAGCTTTTCTGTCTTTGAGACGCTTAGCAACCGAATTACTCAGCTTGACTAGGTGATGCAATGGGTGCTGCAAGGCTCCACTACCGGATGTGCGGAAGTGCAGCTTTGAGTTGAGTGGAATGCAATCTGTTGTGGCAGTTCATTCTTTTGGGATGTCGAACTATGGGGATCAGGCCGCGTGAACCAGCTAGTCTTGTTAATTGTATTGCTGTACGTGGTGGACACGGACCTTACCTGGTGGCTACCAAACCAAGACTTTTCCATATTTCGTTTTGGTTGACTCAGTAACTGGTTCTGTGTTCAGAGTCCACCACACCATCCACCAGTAACTTATCTGGAGCGGTATTTCGGTGTGACTGGATCTCCTCGGTATTGCTATATGCTGCATGTCGAAAACAAGTACCCAGGGGCTGACTGTTCTTAACTCTCCTCCCACTTCGGGCTGCACACTTCTGGTGATGCGGAGGCCACTACCATTAGATATACCTGGCTGGATATTGTGTTGATCAATTGAGGGAAAGGTTTCTACTAGACTGGATAGCATTTTTCAGTCGCCTGTGTGCGGTTTGTTTAGCAATTTCTGTGAAAGAATGTTGCGAAAGTGAGGTCAATCGCTCACCGTTTATTGTGCCTGCCTACGCCTCGAAAGACTGCATTTCTCAGTCCTCCAAGGACAGTTGTGTACTTTTACAACAGAAAAAATCTGGGACATCGTTGTAGTTGCTGGTGACGTGAACGAGACACATAGGCAACGGAAATAGTCTACTTCAGATGTGTGTCGATCACAGACGGTTCCTTTCCAGTACCAATTTCCGAAACAGCGTTTCAATCAATAACGAACTAGCCCCGAGTCCAAATGGACCAGTTGCCATCACTTACCAGTGGCGAGGGCCGATCCTTCTGTAATACCCGCATGGACCCTGACCATGCTTTTGTGCTAAGTGCGCAGATAGATGATGCGAGCCGTCTCAAAAGCGTTACTGGCGTTGAATGACTCAAGGAATTCGTAACGAGGTAATTAAAAAGGTTCTATGTGGTTGTGCAGCAGGTACTTTATTTAACGAGGACATCCAACACCATCACCTTCCGTGGCTCAATCATGTGCCGCGCATACTGAAACCCCGTATTCCGAGACGAGTGCCTGCTTTAAAATAATGCAGACTAGTTGTGAAGCCGTTCAGGTGTAACGCCCTTCAGTGCCTAGCTGCCATTTCACCCGAAGGTTGCACGAGGGCTGAGATACTGCCAGACTGTCCAAGCTTAAACAGGAGTAGTCGAGATGCAGAGGCTAGATTTGAACCACGCGAATCCGTGCTTTGAGCAATGGGCCATTTCTTGGACAAATGGCGGAGAAGCAAATACGACGAATCTGGACGTTCCTGGTGAAGTATGCTTCCCAAGATGGAAACTCCATGACCTTCATGCGCTTGACTGGAGGCATTGCAAGAAATGGCGGCTAATCGTTATCACTGACACTCGTACTGTCAGTTTTTTTCCGAATTACCTGGTTTGACGCTTGAAGGTGTGGACACCTCTGTAGACCAGCACCACCACCCCCTACCTAAGCCACTCTTTTCTCTTCTTCCCAATTAGGGTCTTTACTTATATGTAAATAAATTTCTTGATTGGGAACTTTGTGCGTCCCTGGAGATTGTGAGGGGTTAAGTATTATCCCCTGGGGAATACTTCGGTATCTGATTTATCGAAGCTCTGGTTTTCATGACAGAAATACCGCGCACAGCTAACACCTCAAGTGATGGTATATACTAGAATGAGACATTTTAGAGTGACAGCACAGCGTTCCATCGGGGGTGCTGTTTTGTATGAAACGAAAAGATCACTCCTAGTCCAAATGGATTGGGTGAATTTGTTACTCAGGCGATTCGGTAATGGGGGTTTAGTAATCAAGATCGAGGGGACGGGATCCATAGATTCACCATACTGTGATATTTCGAAGCAATCCGCACATCACTTGTTCTTCTGATACTTGTAGACTCATACCGTTCTCAATTGGTCAAATTTATTTTTCGTACTGCTCTTCCGGGTGCTCTAGCGTCGGCATTCAACTTTACTAGTTTGTTGGTTGAACGTTCTTTCATTTTGTCTGCGGAGTTCGCTGGTATTAGTTTTCGTGCTAGATGCATAAAGATATGGGTTTATCTGCCATTTACCCTTTCTAGCAGTGACACTCGCTGCCAGAAAGACCTGTCGTTCTAAACCGGCGAAGAATGCTTCCCGCAAGAAAGTCGTCGACTCTTATGCACCCTGGCTTGGTGAAGATGACTCCGACGAGGCCGATGCTGGACTGGAGGGTGAGCTTGATGATGACGAGTACTTCAGACGCTTGGAAGAAGAGAAACAGCGGGAGGATGAGGAAGAAGCGCGGCGCAAGAAACAGGTACTTGGCCATGATTTTCATGCAATATTTTTTCATCTCAGCCAGCTGGTACCTCGTCCCCTGGGGATTACTTGCGTTGCTCTTTTTCATGAGCAGCATAATGGACAGTCTGATTGACAAACTGGTTTGCTCAGTAAAGTTTTCTGTGTTCGTTTTTGATTGCCGTACATGTGGTCCAGTTGGATACATGTTTGATCGCTGTTTGGAAGTTCTGCTATGCAGTTGTTTCATTTAGCCTTGGTTTTGAATTATTCGTTTCGGGCGTTCACTACATTGTCTTTTCCAAACACTTTTACAAACTGAAGAGTATTTGCTAGTTCCACTCGATTTGCGTATTATCCGACCAAGACGTTGTCGACAGTGAACACTAGACTCTTAGAAGCCTATTTTTACTCTCATCCTCCTTATAATCACCTTTGGCAGCAATGCACATTCTACTGGTCAACGGCCATACAACCTTGAGGAAAGAAAAGTTTAGTAAAGAGTGTAAACAAAGCGGATGGATATGGACACAGTGCAAATAAGCCAATGTCCTCAAAGGAAAGTGTCAAGGCTAAGGTGCCTACACATTTAGACAGCATTAGGATAAACACATCTGAGCACCACGTCGAAATAAGGCGTCAGCAGTGGGATCGGTCCAGCATCCTTTGTAAACCCCATCCGACGAAAGACGATTGTTCGTCTCTGAACGCCCGTGTCTTCGAAGCATTGCGCATGTATTGCGTGAATGTTGGTTAACATTGCTGAATTGCAACAACTGATTTTGAGCGACCAGTCGAGTGTATCCAACTTTGATGATGTGATGTAGCTCATCCGGTTATACTGGCTCGGTCATGTTTGTTCTATAAGGACGATCGTTTGCCTCAGCACCGTTCACTTCTCTGAAAAGAACATGGGAAACGTGACAAAAGGTCTTAGCCGAGTTGGTTTCTTGTCATCTGTGAGGTTGTGGTTATAGCTACCACCCCATCACTGGCTAGACATGCTTACCGACGTGGTAAATTCTCACAGTCGATGACTGTCTTGTATTCATCCCTTAAGTGTGTGCTACTCGGGCCGTACGGTTACCTGCGAATTAATGAATAAATATGATTACCTTTAATCCATCATTTTCTGTGGTCCTTTTCATTCAACTATATAGACCATACTCCGTCTCCTCATATGAGACTCTGGCAGCCCAAGAAATTGCAAAATTGTGCATGGTTAGTGGTTAAAAAGCCGAACTACCTGAATCCACCTGTTTCTTTTCGTGTCCTTTTTCAACTGGCACGTTAGATTCGCTTTATTAGCGTTCACGTGTTGGATAGTACACTGGTGGCAACGCGGCCCAGTTTTCCTCGCGATTACTTACTGTTTGGAGCAAAGACTGCAAGTCATTAGCAACAGCTTACAGGGAGTGCGAAATTGTGGGAATAGGTACAAACAGGCTGAATGCGCGTTATTCGTAAGAATTCGTTGCACAGCACAATCAATTTTGTTTCAGTTGCGATCGCAGATCGCGAAGTGTCTGCCTTCGTGGCCACGTACCAGACAGTTCGACTGTTACATTTTCTGCTACCTATATTTTTACTCTGGCGTCCTTCTTGGTTGAATTCATTTTACGGTACTAGAGCTATACTTCTACGAATGTATGTGGTGCTTGTGATTCGAACTTCTCCTGTATCCTTTTTCAGGCTGCACGTGCGAAGAAGTCGAAGCCTAGTCCAAAGAAGCAAGGCTATAAGGTTTCCAGAAGGATTAGTGGGAATTCTGCACGTCGCGGATCGCAGCCCAACTATGCAGTTCTTGCCGGCCTCGTTGAAGAAGACAGCGGCAGAGATGACAGTGAATATGGTGACGGTACTGTTTCCTCCTACAGTGAATCTAAATTAGATTATGAGGAAGTGACCAACCTTCGAACACTTTCTCCACATGAAGAGTTGGATGAAGATGATGGGGAGGAGGACCGATCTGAGCGTTCATATCCCGTTGATGACCTTTCCCAATCGCTGGACGCGGAGGAAGAGGATGCAATTATGGAGGAGGATGAACAACAGTCTTCAACCCGACCTGATACATCTTCCAGAATTGTCTCTGATCAGCTGTCTGTGTGTCCCGTTTCAAGTGATCCCTTCACCATAGCAATGTTGAATGTGGACCCCATTCAACTATTGTATCAGTCACCTCACTTGGCGTTGCCGCCATCTGCGTCCGATTTAGTTTGCCCGAAGGGCCTGATTATGGATGCTTTTTCAATATACGAGATATTAAACCGTTACAATCGACTGCTTCGTCTTTCGCCATTCAAAGTTGAAGATTTTTTGGCGGCCCTGACTGCGAATGAGAATTCTATTCTGCTCGCTGAGATTCATATTGCACTGTTGAGAGCTCTCACACGTGAAGACGATGCTGCAGGAACGTTGATGTATCCAGTTGACTCTAAAGACTCCGTCACAATAACTTTCCACCTGCTTGACCGTTTCAACTGGCCACATTTGCTGGCAGCCTATCTGGCAAGCGTCAAGTCCTCTGAATCTGCGGCTCTGGCTGCTGCTTCCAGTCTCAGTTCGATGAGTATGGCTGCTGCATATGCCGCCGGTGCTGCTGGCTGTGGTCCTACCGGTGGTGGTGGTGCAGACAATGTGCTTACTGCCGCTCTATTCCCAGATGGTCTCATCCCACTAGATCCCGCTTATCCATTTGTTCCTGTCGAGAAACGCGTAGCTGTACTCAGAGGTCTGGCCAATCTCATAGTGGCCACGGGTCCAGTTCGTGGGGACATTTTGCGGGACGGATTCCTTCCACACGAGGATCATTGTCGTGTGTGTCATCAGTGAGTTGTTTTTCTATCGAAAACCCATTGAGTTGCTTCCATCATCCCTTCACAAGCGTCTGCCTCCCCAGCATGAGCGTCATTCTGTGCTAATTTCATTTTTTGTACTTTAAGTTATATACCAAGAATCTACAGTTTTTTACGTTTTGCCTCGAGCATTGTTGTTCCACGTAGCGTAAAACTTTCAGTTGGTAAATGGAAGGCAAGAAGACTTTCCAATTCCGACCTAGCTAGTGGGTAGTCGTTCGACACTGACACCCCGATACATAACTGCTGTAAAGCTCGAAGTAGGCATGTAGGTTGGGGTACTGCCAGGTTGCAGAAGCTCGGGATAGCTCAGCGGTTAGAGCTTAAAGCTACTGACCGGAAGGTCTGTGGTTTGTATCTAATCCTAACCTTTTGCTCGTTCTTGTCCCCGCCTGGGCAACGTGGCAATACCCCCTGATTTACGTTGATTACGTGACAGCCATGCTCCAAAATTGCGCCACGGTAGCGGTTATTTTCAAAAAGCCTAGATGAGAGAAATCGAAAATCTTGTGTTGGGTTCAAACCACGGATCTTCCGGTCTATAGCTTCGTGACTTCATTGCTTGGCTTTCTTGAGCTGTCATAATTCTCAAGTAGATTCTCCCTCTATATGCCATGCACGTTGAGATGCTAAAGTTCGGAATAACTAATCAAATCGCGCTTGAATTTTTCTGTCGCCGTGCTTATTCTGACATTATCTTTGGCCCGACTATCTTCATCCGCTCTTCGTTACGTATGTCAGTCAGCCGCTAAGGTTAGGAATGTCTTAGGATTCCGTTAGTTGAAATGCTCAGTGTTCACCGGAGTGTAACTCATCAAACAGCAATGCACTCCCGGAGAAAAGCAGTTTTCACTCAGGGTGTAATTCAGCGTACCCTTGTACCAATAGTTTGATCACCATGTGGCCTGTCGATTACAATTGTTAACAGTTTTGGCGAATGCCAGCTAATAATTTACCCATACTCGCGTCAATAGTAGACTTAGGTTATAGAACTGGGGCAATTACGTGTGATTCTGACAGTAGGTGTCCTCCTCACCTTTTTACGAGTACACAGTTCATGCATAAGGTCACTGAAGAAAAAAATGGACGGACATTGGCATTTTCGCGAACTCTTTCTCTGGTCAATGCAGATCGGCGAGTTAAAAACTAAAAGTGAGTGACCCACACAAGTAAAACAAGTAAACATAAGTAAAACAAGGGTAAAATAGAGTAGGCGGATAAAAGCGTGGAAACTGTGTACGATACGGTCGGTGAACTTGAGTGACCAGCGGTCGCGTGAGTGGGCCATCGAAGACTATGCGTTCGAGCGCTACCTCAGTGCACAGACTGAGGTTTCGTGAGCGAATCGCGGTTGCCTCAGCTGTGGCTAGACATTGATACTGAACGAATCTTGGTAGGCAGACATGGGCTTGGTGTAGTGTTCGGAAAGCAACAGCATCATCATCATCAACGACAGCATGACATCAGTGTTCAACACCAATGCTTCACTGCCGTACAACCATGACTTATTTGAAAGCCTTATGGTAAAGAAAAGAATAAAGGTGGATGGGGGAGGGACTTAGTGCTAGCTTAACACAATCATTCCGAGGTGCCTACACCTCCAGACATTCACTCAGGCAATCTGGACAGAAACTGACAACAAGAACGCCACTGACATCGGCTGGCAGCCATATCTTGTAGTGTCTCCAACCAGGCACAGTGAGGATCACGCGGTCCCCATCCTGGAAGGCGAGTAGCACCGACAGCACCCAAGCGTTTCGTGATCTCCTCCATACTCCTCTGCCAGGTCAT